TTTCTTTTTTTTTTTTTCCCCTTCATCATTATGATTCAGTAGATGGACTGTGCCAGGTATAGTACACATCCTCTTCTAATAAACGTTTCTCCAGGTCCCATGAGTGTTTGTTGTAATGAGGTTGTACAGTATCTGTGCCATCTTTTCAAAATGAAGAAATGAGTGTTGACAAACTGAGGCTTGAAGGAAAAGGTAGAATGAATGATTTAAGAATAGGAAATGAGATTATTAGTGTTAGAACGCTAGGTCAAATCCTGCCACGTTGTTGGATAGCTAGTTGGTGTCCTTCGTTCAGTTTAGTTCCCTAGTAGTAGATGTACAGTAGCCTTATCACTCAATAGTCTTTCCAGAGAATCCAAGGAATGCCTAGATTTGGAGATTTGAACTATCCTGTCATAGTGCTTGAAGGTTTGTCTTGAAGCAGATTGGTTCGATAGTGTGTTCTAGATGGAAGGGTCAGGGGAGGAAGGGGAGAGATGTTACCCATTATTGTTATTGTCAGAAACTTAGACTGATTTGATTGCAGACAATCACTTCTTTAGCAGTTCACAAACTTATGCCATTTGGTGCATGGAGATGACTGACCGATTGAAAGATGCTTGTTGACAGTCCAGATATATTGTTTGAATGCTACTTATTTTGTCTTTAATTGCATATAACATGCACCCTTTCCTCCAAAACCAGCTTGCGGAAATTGGGATGTGCATTACATACAAGAAATACAGAAATCCCCATGGGTCTGGAAATTTGGCATTAGGGGAGTGATGGTAATTAATGTTGCTCTGTTTCCCCGTGCTCACAAATTTCTGGACATGGGGGGCATGTATCTTTGGAACTGGTGCATGGGCCAAGACACCATGCAGGACTGGGAGCAGGCTTGTCTTCCCAGCTGCTGCTACTCAGTTTCTCTGCAAAGATTTTTTTTCCTTAACGTTTTTCAAAAACAAGGTTCATAATATATCTGGAGCTGTTACCTGCAAGAAAATATAGTAATAATTGGTGAACAGGGCTGTCTTAAGAAAAAAGAAAACAAATCTAAACAAAAATCTTTTACTAGTGTCCTTCAAAAGAAGCTAGTTTATCATACATAAGAAATGTATCTGACGAATAATTTATTTACTTTCAAACATTGCTCCCTACTAACCACTTCAGAAAATGTTTTAAAACAGTTACAGTTTGTATAAAACTTGTCTGTTTAGACTTCTAATAAATGAGCCGCCTTACAGGGTCTTTATAGGTTATGAAAGGGAACACAGCAATATTACTGTATTGAGTTCCTTCCCTCACCAGAAGTGATTTCAAAACCAAAACTGTTCAGTTCTCAAATCTGCAGTCTTCAGCAGAGAGAGATTCTTTAAAAAAAAATCACCCTTTTTAGTAAAGCAGCCTTGTAGCTAAAGTTCTTATTTATTGCCAGAGGGACTTGGAGCTATTTCTCAAGCAGGCACTGTAAAACAGTCTCACTTCTGCCCATAAAGCTAAAATCTCACTTCCAAATCATGTGAGTGATTTGAAGTTTAAATTACCAGTTTGTTCAAGTGTGCATGAATGAAGTTGAGCTAAAACACCCATACAATTGTAAATCTGGTTCAAACCCTAATTATATCATGAAGGTGAAATGCTATTTACCTTTAGAAGAAGCGAAAGGGCTGTTATTTGTTGTTCTTCTGGGCAACTGCGATGTTGCAGTAATCATGAATGTGAGTATATGATAAGCTTAGTGGTGTGTGCTTTCTTTTTTTGGAAGAAAAGGCAATTTAGGGCAGTGAAAGAAATCAGACCTGATCTGTGAGAGGATTATAACCATCTTGGGGGGGAAATATTTTCTGATTAAATCAAATTGTTCTCTCTTTCCTTTGAGTTTCCTATAGCTGAAAATAGGACATTACTGGTCAGGAAAGGGGGCTTCCAGTTTTGGAATTTTTTAGATAAAATCAGAGCAGAACTTCTGAAACTGCCTGGGAGATTTAGGCGCCGTATTCGCTTTAAATCTAATGGTACTTGGGCATTGACAACTGAGCAGTTTAGAAAATCTCAGTCTAAATCTGTATATTAAAAGAGAGAGACTTGTGTTGATGCTGCCTCTCCCTCTGTAGTTTTTAAGGTCATCTGTGAAACTAGTGGAGATGGTCATATTGCTTCATCAGTTGCATTGTAATAAGCTTTTTTTTTTTTTTTTTTTTTTTAAGATACCAAGTCTCAGTACCTGAAACATGACCACCTTTTCAAATGTTTAGTGGAAGGTGAGCACTGCTAACCTTATTTATTGATGGGGACCACATCAGTGTGTCCAAGGCCACGAAGGAGAATCAGGATGGCTATGTGCAAATGATTCTTTCAGCATCTCAACTATTTACCATATCTTTTGTAGAAATAGCAGCGACTGTGCAGTCCACTTGCTAAAAGCAGGACTTCCTAGTTGGGCTTTCTGCACCATCAGCACAGAACTCATTTTGAATGAAAAGAATAGTTTGGCTGTTATACCTTCTACAAAAAAGCAGTCTTTTCTCTACAGAAGCATTGTACTTTGTACACATGTATGCAAGAGGCATATTGCTGTAATGTTACTGAAATTTCTCTCTCTAAGCATTTTTCTTATCGACCATGCCTGGACCTACCGTGTGGAACATGCACGCCAGCAGCTGCTGCAAGTTCCTGGTCTGCTTCACCGAATGGCAAACCTTATGGGAGTAGATTTTCATGGAGAAGTCCCGGATGAAGGAAGTATTGAGCAAGTGTTGCAGGAGATGTGGAAATACAACCAAACCTACCAGCTATCTCAGGGGGTAAAGCTTTAAAATGACTCTTCTAATCAAGAATATTATGGTGCACTTCAGGGTCCTGGTTCCAATAAGCTGGCCTTAGTTTTCCATGTCTCTCTTGTGGGAAATGCTCCATTCAGAGGTATTTAAAATGCACTGCTCTTCATAGGAGGGAGTACCTTGAAATGCAAAAGAGTAGTGACAAGCTGAGTCTTTTAACAGGGTTGCCCACAAAGTTTCCCTCTTAACCCAAAGAAGAACATGCTACAAGGGAGAGGCATGAGGAGGGTGAGGAATCTTGTTTTTCTTTCTTACACTTTTTCCCATAGCTTTAAATACACAAGACAATAAGTCTCTTAACAAATGAAGAAGGCAGGGCAGCTGTGCAAACAACCATGCATTAAGTGAACTTTTTATCAGTAAGTTGTGTTTTGTTCCCTAACTGTATTAAGTGTATCCTGAAACTGCTGGGAGCTAAAGCTGTAGAAGGGATTATTGAAGAACTCTTCAAGCATATTTTTAAAGCTACTCTTCTGGGAGTTACTGTGGTCTACAGGGTAATGCTTCAGACAGGGACTTGAGTTCCCTTACCAACTCTGGCCCTGATCTGCCTGCATAACTTCAGTTGAGACATTTTACCTCCATGCTTCAGTTTCCCCATCTGTAAAATGGGAATAATGGGTATTTTGCAAAGTACTTGACAATCTACTGATGAAGTGGTATATACGCCTTTCTACTCAGTAAAACTTATCCTAACTTTCATAGTGAGTTTCTATGTTCCTGTAAGGAAAACTTTAACTCTTATTTGAATTGGAACACATAAGAATGGCTTTAGTGGGCATGGTTAGTGCCACCTGTCTTACAGGATTCTTGTTGTAGTGCATATTTTGAGCATTATTTTGTGATAATTTTTTTAATTTGTAGACTGCAGAGGAGAAGGTTCCTGTCTGGTATATTATGGATGAATTTGGATCCCGAATTCAGCATTCAGATGAGCCTACCTTTGCAACAGCACCTTTATTTTATATGTCTCAACAAATTGCTTACACTGTTCTCTGGCCTTTAAGAGACCTTGAAACTGGAGGTGAGTGTGTGTATGTATGTGTGTCAGTCACTTGTTTTTTTTATACAAAAAGTCAACTGAAGCCAAACTTCTGTAAGCCTTTGTCACAGTTAATTTAAGTGGGGTTTTTTTTCCTTAAAAAGAAAACCTCAGAACATTTCAGGTAGTTTAAAAAGGTTATTTGGATATATTTTTAAATGGCATAAGGTGCAAATATAACTTATTTTTGTAGTGTCCTGAGTCTTCCTAAATATGAGAAGGTAAGATGAAGGTCCTCATTTAGCCAAATAAATTCACTGCAATTGTAGAAACCAAGGATTAAGACGCTCTCTTTGATTTTAGCCTGTCATCTAATGAGAACTGAGTTGGAAAATGAAAGTGTTGACACTGCAAAATCATTTAAACACTCATGCAACCCTAATGTAGGAATCTTCAGTATAGCCCATGTATTGAAAGAGTTGGGGATGGATCCTCTGGAGAGGAAAACTTTTAACTAAAGACCATCTTAATGCTTACACATGCAGGGAGCAGTGTTGGTGGGAGTATATAAACTTAAAATCGTTGCACTTGTCATGTAAATAACATAATTTTGGTCATAGGTTTTGTATGGTGCAAAGAGGATTATTGATAGAAAATGTCTGAAAAGAATCACTTTTATATTCTGTTGCAGATGAAGTGACACGGGACTATGCCTATGGGGAAACAGATCGCTTGATCAGGAAATGCATGTTGTTGCCGTGGGCACCTGCTGAAGTATTGGATGTCAGCTGTTCTACCCCAGAGCCTTCTGAAGATCACTACCAGGTATAATCTTAATGAGTCTTTTAGTAGGACTGGAGTGATGTTGTAGCATGATAGTCCAGGAAGTGTATGAGAGGAAAGGATATTTTTTGTGATATCTTTTACTGGACCAACTGAGAGATGTTAGACAAGCTTTTGGGCACAGCTTGTGCCCAAACACTTGTCACATTTTTCCCAACTATGCAGTTGATCCAAATAAAGATATTGTCAAAATATCTGTGCTTCTTTGGTTTAGATGATCTCTCTCTCCTGCTGGGGGAATGTCTGAAAAATCTCTACTTTACTTTTCAGTTTTTGATTGCCACATGGGTTTTAATGATTTTTTTTATGTAATTATTACATTTTTCAATAGCAGAGATGTGGTCAAGAAATGAACATGCTGGTTTCATCCATTCCAGATCCAGTATGTAAGATGGATGCCTTCTTCTATTATAACAGAAGCAATGAGTGTTCTGGAGAAGCCTTTCAGCTATATTTTACTTTTCAACCCAGTGTTGTATGGATTCCATACCGAATTCCATACAAACTGAGTATATTAACAGCTGGGTTTCAAGTCAGATGCTAGAGGGAGCATCAGGCCGGATCATTCCACGTGTATTGATTTGTTACAAACATTCTAGTTAAGACTGAAATACACAAAATGATTAATCTTTCTGTAAGGAACAAGATCTTATTTACAACTTAATTATTCATTTCATCTCACAACTTTAAGGAATTGGTGGAGCAGAGACAACATTTGACCCAATATTTTTTTCTAATGTTGTTTTATAAGTCATTGAATCCACACTTTCTACAAGTTAATAAGTAAAATAATTTGTATACAACTAATAAGCATTTGTAGACAGCAAGATAGAGGTACACCTTGCAGACTAACTGAATCAGAGATGCCTAAACTCTCATAAGCCACAGCTCACTTCATGAGAGGCTGTGAAAGATCATGCAGAGAGAGGCTCTCAAATAAAAATAGTGATTTAAATACAAAATACATCTGGTGAAGTGAGCTCAGGCTCACATAAGCATGTGCATCTGTGATTTAGTCTCTAGGATGCATCTCTACCCTGCCTTCTGCCTTAAATACAAAAGACAGAGAAGGATAGCAGGAAAAGAGGAAAGAGAGGGTGGTTAGTGAAATTTATATTTCATCTTCTTTTACCAGTGCTTCCCTCCAAGCATGTAAAAACCAGCAAAAATATTTTTCACTGAAGTATACTTTCTTTGACTAGCTTCCCTTTTTAAATTTGATCTTCTAGTGAAAACATTAACATTTTTTCCAGAACCACAAACTTGCTTATCGCAGAAACACCAGGCAACTATCACTACTTATGTTCTGCTATTTTAGCTTCTCCCTAGAAAATGTCTCTGAAAATTATAAGTTAAAATAGGATATATTAAAAATAAATTATTTGATTTCTGTAACAGTGCCTGAATAATTTTTAACACGTAATACTCTGCATTTAAAAGTAATGTCTGTTTTCTCTTTCTGTAGTGAAAAGAAGGATCAGTCTGTATTTCTGTGGTCCAGCATCTTGTGGAGAAAGGTGGCTGGGATGTGCCTTAAATTCCCCCGTTTCAGTTATGTATAACTAAATCTCCAGCCACAGCAATTTTAAGGATTAGGAATCTCTGTCTGTGCTGGATTATGCTACTCTAGCAAAAAGTGACAATTTTTTTCCAATTTAAAAATACCAAAGACATGGAGAATGGGATTTTCAAAAGCACTTGGTTTTGGCCTAGTTCTCCCATAATTTAACTAAGTCCGTAATAAAAGTGCCTCCTATTGGAGCAGTTAGGCTAACAAAGCTATTGATTCTTTGGCTGCTGAGTCAGTTTGGTGTACTTCAAAGCATACATGATGTTGTTAAACTAGATCATGCCTTTGTTTTCCACAAAAGACACTTCTGTTATAACACGTATATTATTAACATACTTGGGGAAATCTACATTGATCTTCTAAACAATGTGATTCGCCCAATATGGAGGGGAACTCTTGTTTTTAACTTGACGCAAATCTTTTATTTTAATCTTTGGGTTGGAAGGAAGAAAGGAATGTTTATTCCCCAGGTAACTTTCATGTGCCAGTATTAATAAAGCACTCTTATGAATATTTAAAGGATAATTGTTGTTTTAACTCTTTTTTTTTCCCCTCTCGCTTGCTAGAAGTACCTTTTTTTGCTTTTTTTTAATCGCCTTTTAATGGTTTCCTTTTCATTTCTGTCAATACTTTCTTCATGTACTTAAAAATGTTATTCAGTTTGGCAACTAAATTACTGTTCATTTCGCTTCTAAGACTGTAAAGTCTGAAAGTGATTTATCTTACCTAATAATATACTTATTATTTTTTTTTAGGCTATTTTAAATGAAAACAAGGAGAAACTGCCTGTGGCAATAAGTCCACCAGTTTATGATGAGAATAAAATTTTCAAGTAAGTATTTACAAATGAAATGCCTTAAAATGCTTCGTGTTCAGTTGCCAGATACCAGGACTGAGCCCAGGGAGTGGTGCTGTCCCCTCTCTGTGTGATTTGAGTGCCAGGTGCATGGAATGGGCAGGGGCTTTACTCTGTCCACTCCGTACCTGGGTAACTGGGAGCTGAGCAAAAGGAGATCATCCTGATAAAATGACATTTAGGAAGTGACATAGAATGAAGACTGTTCTGAGGTATGAGCTATGGCTGAGGCCAGCTGCTCTCCTTTGTGCTATAAAAACATTTATGATGGCACAAAGCTCAAGCAGACAGATGTCCATGCTTTTTGTCACGCCACAAATACCCAAAATTGGGGCCATGACAATAGGTGGCAAACACTTGTTCCACTTTTTTTGCAGCAAATGTTTCCTTTATGGCAGGAAAGCATGGGCAGCCTTGAGCTACCCGCACACTGTAGCTGCCTGGGACAGGTGCTCCCAGGTCTTCCTGGGGCTGATCCTGCACACCCTGGGAGTTCTTCTGCAGAAATGCCCATGAAGCCCCTCAAGTGCCTGTCCAGGTTTTCCTGCTGGCAGATGAACTCCCTAAGAATCCCTCAGGAGGGATTGCCTGGGTACGTATATTGCACTGCAGTGTCTGTGTCACCCAGTAAAATGGATCAGCTGTGCTGCAACAAACCTCAGCACAGCTGATCCCGCTCCAAGAATGATGTCTGTGTATAGCCAGAGGCTATATTTTTGCCTTTGCATTAATGATCTGTATAAGAGACCTGATTATCCTAAAGGATGCTCTATTACATCTCCTTTTAAGATGGTGTGTCATCTTATTTGACTGATGGTAGAAGAGATGGCACAAAATCAAGTATATAACCTGGCTCTGCTATTTTCCACTGCTAGAAACAATTTTCCACCGTTAGAAACAATTCCAAGAGAAGGAGTAGTACAGATGTTCAGTCTGCAACTGCCCCCTCTCTCCTGCTCCATGTGCCTTCCCCACACCAGAGTGATCCCAGTCTGAAGAAGGCATGAGCTACTCCAGTCCTCCCATTTCTGATGACTCTGGTGTGAGAAGCAGGCAGGGGTCTTGCAGCACTGCTCCCTTTGCTCAGCTCCCAGTTACCCAGGTATGGACTGGAGAGAGTAAAGCCCCTGCCCATTCCATACACCTGGGACTCCAAAGTGAGGAGTGGGCAGGGGCTTTGCAACCCTGGGGAGAGCTTCCCAAGCTTGGCTCCCAGTTCTGCCAACTATTAAATCACTGCCTCTGACACTCAGTCACTTAGCTGAACAGCCATGAGGGGCAGGCAGCGGAAGTCAGTGAAATTGGAGCCAGGCTCAGGAAAAAAAACTCTCCAAGCCTGGCTTCTGGCCTCCAGCTTTCAAATCACTGCCCTTTACCACTTAGCTAAGCAGACGAGGGACAGCACCACTCCCTGTGCTCAGTCCCAGGTGCCTAGCAACTGAGCAGAGGGAACAGTATGGCAAAGGAACTCCAGTATGAGGAGCTGGTGGTGACTATTCCTCCCCTCTACTCCTGGTCTACAAGATGGGTGGGGGCAGCTGCCACCCATTCCTTCTCCAGAGTATGGTGACACCTGTCTGTGGAAGGCACAGAAGCCTTTTTCCCCAGCTCTGCTTGTTCCCAAGAAACATTAAGCTGGGGGAAAGTGTACAGATGTTTAGTCTCCCAGGAAAAACTCTCTGAGAAGTAATTTCTATCTGGTTGTTGTGAGCTCTTTTTTTTTTCCTCTTGGAACAGCAATTTTTGCTCCAAGAGAAAAAAACTTTGAAAATCTGTACATTTTTGGTTTCTACTGGGAGAACAGTAATTCTCATGGTAGAAACTGAACATCTATACATGGCCTCAGATTCTGGAGAAAATAAAGATCTGTTTATGAAAACAAAGGATGCTCAGTGCCCTGCAGAGTGAGTCCACGTAAATGTACTTAGCAGCAGCTGAGGAAATGCAGACAATGGCCTGGATTCTTTGTATTTTGTACGGGGGAAAAATGTATAAAGTCCTGTGACTGGCCAAGTGCAAAACTCGCCCTCCCAAATTCCAAGTCAAATTAAAAAGTCTTGTTAGTAGCAACATAGGTGCTTACTATTCAGATAATAGAATCCCAGTGGGGAAATGCTTCTCAGATTGAAAGCTTCGTTCATATAAATTTCTTTTGCTTTCTCCCAGGGTTTATACAGACATTCAGCAAGTCCTCAACAATTTGAAACACCCCCGTTTTGTGTTCACTGATGATGAGAGAGATGCTGACATCCTCTACAATTTTTCCCACTTCAAAGATTACAGGTTACAGCTATTATTTTGCAAGTACAATTTTTTATTGTCACACAAAAGCCCTGTTCCATGGTGCACTTTCTCTAAATGAACTGTCACTTGTAGGAGCCTAAGTGAAGAAAGACCCCATGTGATGTTGAATCAATTTCCATGTGAGAACCTCTTGACAGTCAAGGATTGCCTAGCATCCATATCCAGAAGAGTTGGAAGGCCAGATGGGCCAAGATGGCTTCCTCGTACTTTTAATCTTCATACAGAATTTCCCCAGTTTATCAGCTACTTTCAGCAGCGTGAAAGAAGGTAGGTCAGACCTGTTTCTTAGGTTTTCCTACTGGCTTTCTTTGGGTACCAGTCAGTGCCTTTTTTCAGTTAAAAGCAAGGAGCTAATCTGCTGCCATTAAATTGTGTTGTTGCCCTCAAGTTATGTTCTGGGTGAATTTTATCTGGAAAGCCTGGGTTTTATTTTTAATATATCAAATGGTAAAATATGTAAGTGGTTCACCTTGAAATGCATGAGGTAAAATCTTGGGCCTCATTGAAATCAATGGCAATATTCTGTTTTAATCAGTAGAGCCAGGTTTTTCTCTGTATGCCAATGACTCATTTTAGCAGTTAAAACTTAGAGCAGTGGTTGTGCCTCAGTTTTCATCCTTAAGACGCCGCATTTCCCTATGGAGGTGAAAACAGAGATCAGAGTTTGAACTAACCTTAAGCCTTTGTAGAGATCCCAAAATGAATCTGAATCAGACTTTCATTATGCATTCTGTGTTGCCTTGCTTGTAAACTTTTCTCACTACCGCAGCCTCTTTGAGATCTGGGGAGCTTGATAATAACTAACTTCTTGATTCTTACCAAAGGGGAAAAAATAAACATCTCATATGGTCACCAAAATAAATAACCTCTGTCTGGTATGAAGTACCCACACCTGAGAATCGGCCTCCTGATTAGTTAAATTACCATCTATTAAAAGTTGGCTCGTTCACCTGCTTTCCTGCAGCATACAAAAGATATTGTTCCTGAAAGACCTAGCCATGAGGAAAAATAAAGTAGGACAGGCTCGAAACACAGCCCTCTAATGCTATGTATTTTGCAAAAGATGATCGTGAAACCAGTGTGGGAAGAGTGGAAGAGAGAGCTTCCAAAATAAACTATTCCCATGTAAACTAAAACAGATCATTAACTAGGACTACTGCTGTAGCTATTATTACATGGTTAACCTCTGTCAACTGCCTGTGATTATTCAGAGCATCTCTTTTCTGATGCCTTCACAGATCAGTATAATTTATCTTGCCAGAGCTTTTCAAGGAGTGCTCCCCTCTTCAAATCCCTATGTAGTAGAGGGTAAAGCTGAGCTGTTCTGAATTAGAAAGATAGGTCTCTGAATCCATGAACAGTAGATGAACTCTGTGTTGTCCTGTAACTTGACAGGCTCTGAGCAGTGGATTTGATAAAGTTGTAGGTGGGTGTTTAATTTTTATAATTTTTTTTAAACATCCACCTACAATTTTCTCAAGTCAACTGCTAGCCAGGTCAGAATAGTTTAGAACCCTGTCCCTACAACATCAAAAATGCATGATGTAGTCATGGTGTGTATGTGAGAACATGGGATTTAACAGTAGAAGTGTGACTGAAAAGCTAAGTATGAATCCCTGAAACTGTCCAATGTGATCCAGAAGTCTGGAGGCACGCAGGATCTGACTCCTGAAGATTGAAATGTAGCTAGTAGCATTTCTCTCCAGAGATTATGTGCCCTTGATTACATTTAGTTTTGTCTTTTTTACTGCAGGGGAGAAGACAATCACTGGATATGCAAGCCCTGGAACTTAGCCAGAAGTTTAGACACCCATATCACCAACAACCTCAACAGTATCATAAGGCACAGAGAAAGCAGCCCGAAGGTTGGCAAACGCAAGCTTTGTATAGGGAGTGAAAGAGATCTGAAAACTTTATTTTTGCAAAGAACACAAAAAAACCCATAGCAGGAAAAAAGAGATTAGTGAGCACCTGCATTAAGAGGATGAATGTGATGAATTAAAATAGAAATCTCTTAGCTTTCTGTGACAGAGTTAGAGCATTTTCCAGTTTGCCTAGGGTAGGCCATCTCTTTGTTTCTTTGAGGCATAAAACATGCCCTGACAAATGTGTGGCAGCTTTAATGTAACTCGAGAAATCTTAGAATGGAGAATGAAATCCTTACATCACACACAGCTGGTGGTAGCTGTAAATTGCTGAAGGTTAATGCTGCTTCACTCAGGCTGATTATTATCATTAGTTCATTCCCTTACCATACAAAGCACCTGTTGCAGCAAGGACGGGTGCATAACAGCTTTTTTTATGGGAGCCAGTTGTGTGTGTGCTTATATCAGACTGTCACATAAGCATATTATTGCCTTGTTATTTTTTTGGAATACAAATCTCAGTGTGAAAACATGTTAAGAGTTGTAACGTTATTTTAGGTCAGGATAAAGCTGATTAAAACCAGCTATACTTTACATATTATTAAGAACTTTTAAGAAAAAATTCAAAACTGGCTTTCCTGTAACCTAGCCTTTACTTCAAAAGCAGTCTTACAGCTGTGTTTCTATGTCAGTAATCATAGAGCATTACGGTTGGAATGGACCTTAGGAGGTCATCTAGTCCAACCCGCTACTCAAAGCAGGACCATCCCCCAACTAAATCATCCAGCCAAGGCTTTGTCTAGCTGGGTCTACGAAACCTCCAAGGATGGAGAGTCCACAACCTGTCTGGGTAACCTGTTCCAGTGTTTTACTAACCTCCTAGTGAGAGAATTTTTGCTAATAGCTAACCTAGACTTCCCTTGCTGCAACTTGGTCCTTGTTCTGTCACCTGCTACTGCTGAGAACAGTCTAGCTCCATCCTCTGGAAACATCCTTCAGGTAGCTGAAGGCTGCTATTAAATCCCCTCTCAGTCTTCGCTTCTCCATGCTAAATAAGCCCATTTCTCTCAGGCTCTCCTCATGAAGTCATGTGCCCCAGCCCCCTCACCATTTTTGTTGTCCTCCACTGGACTGTCCAATTTGTCCACATCCTTTCTGTAGCGGGGAGCTGAAAACTGGACATAGTACTTCAGATGTGGCCTCACCAATGCAGAAGGGGAGGGATTACTTCCCTTGATCTGGTGGCAACACTCCTACTAACGAAGCCAATCATGCTCCTATTCAGCCTCCTGTCCACTGTAACCCCCAGGTCCTTTTCTGCACAGCTGCTGCTTAGCCAGTTAGTCCCCAGCCTGTACTGGTGCATGGGATTCTTCTGTTGTAAGTGCTGGACTTTGCACTTGTCGTTGTTGAACCTTGTGAGATTTCTTTTGGGCCAGTCCTCCAATTTGTCTAGATCTTTTTGAATCCTGCCCCTACCCTCCAGCATATCTACTGCTTCATTGAGCTTGGTGTCATTTTAAGTGAGGGTCTTAATTATTTTTTGTGGTAAAAACTTCCTTGGAGTACTGGGAAGATGTATGGATCAACTGAGGAGGAACAAAATGTTGGACTGGACCATATAAAGTAGTTTTAGTATCAATAGTGAATAAAATAGAAGTGTGATGACAACTGTTTGTGCTGTGTTGAGCGAAGAAATATTTTAGTTCTGCAGACAGACTTTAGTATAGGAGGGAGCACACAAACGATTAATTTATTAATAAAGGAATTGGTACCAGCTATGTGTTTCACTTGTTGAAAAGAAAACTGACTCGAACATATTGATAGAAAATCTTGGATCATCAAAACCCACTGACAAGCATTTCTGACTTTGCCTACTGAACATTTTCTTCATTTCTTAAGGTTTAGTTGCATTTATTCTTCCTTTCTTCTTTCAGGTAGTGTCTAAGTATATTGAAAATCCAGTCTTGTTTCAGCGGGAAGATGTGGGGATGGTTAAATTTGACATTCGTTATGTTGTTTTGCTGCGATCTGTAAACCCACTCAAGCTGTATGTTTATGATGTATTTTGGCTGCGCTTCTCAAATCGGTAATAATTGTTTCCTAGGACTGAAGGACTTAAGTTGTCTTGGTTTTCTGTGACCATGTATAATTAACAGAATCTCTCCCTTCTGTTGGTTAGAGCATTTTCTCTTGATGAATTGGATGACTACGAGAAGCATTTTACAGTCATGAACTATGTTCCTGGTGTAACATTAAAACAGGTAAGTGAACAACTTGAGGGACACAGGGAAGTACATTTTTCAGTCACATGGAGTCCTAACAGATCCTTTTTCTGGACTTACCAGATGCAACCTCAAGGCATTAACTCTACAGGTGGTAAGTGCCCTGATGCAGCTGTTACCTGGAAAGCAGATCAAGAAACATAGTGACAGAGGATGGCACAGATCTTGGACCTTTATTAAAAATGACCATGTAGGGAAAAATGGTTAAAAATATTAAAACAATATTACTGGTGCCACATTTATGGTATACAGCAGTTTTATCACCTCTCTGCTCCTGAGTAGATGCAAAGAAGGACTGAAGTGAGCAGTTGCTGTTTCTGTATTTATTTGGAATTTAAGCCAAATATGTTTCAAATCCCATAGCTCATACCCAACCTTTTCCTATATAAAAAAAAATAATCATCAGTTTTTGTTGAGAATCAGAGAAAAATGATTCCCAACATTTAATTATTTATTATCATTTAAATTATTTTAGGTACACTGTGATGAATTTATTCTTCTCTTTGAGAAACAGTATCCTGAATATCCCTGGACAACTGTAAAAGTAAGCCAAGAAGTTCATCTGCCCCCACCCCAGCAAAGGTGTTTTGCCAAAATTATGGTTTTTCCTTCCATACTAAACCTTCTGGTGATGCACATCATGCAGCATATGAAAAGCTCATTGGTCCAGTATGTTAACAACTACTAATGGGAAAGGCCAAGTGACCAGTGTTACTATTATTTTAGGGTTTAAAGTTAATTGTTTGTTTGCATGATCTATTGAACTTGAAACAGAATTGCTGCTTATGGGCATTAGAAACAGGACCCTGTTGCATGTTTCCCCCTGCTGCTGTAGAACTTGTTGCAGGGACCCACAGAGGTTCAACAGAACAGTTCCATGTCCCAGGGCAGTGTTGATGCACAGTGCAGCACTGGCCACCATGCCACTGGCAGCAGCATTGTGGCCAAAAGGCCTGGAGTGGGGGCCCAGCCAGAGTTGCCACTGCTACTATTTGGATGGACTGGGGCCATGCTTCATGCCACACCGTGGAGTGGAGATGGAGTGTGTTGGTGTTGCAACGATGCTTCTTGTTTCTCAAAGTATTCTTTCAGGCATTTGCATTTTGAGCAACTAACTACTTTTCCTGTTACTAGGTGGATATCTTTAAGGTGTTTGCTGAACTATTCCAAGCTGCTTCAGCTAAACCTGCACCATTTGGCATTTGTGACTATACATCATCGCGAGCAGTATATGCCATTGATTTGATGCTTAAGTGGGATACCACCAGTGATGGTAAGATGTTTTTCTTGTTTTGAATTGATTCTGTTTCCAGATCTATTAACAGTGCACTGTGCAAGAATTTGCTTTCTTGCCTAAGATTTTTCTGTTTTAAGTGGAGGGGGCACCATGATGTCAGTGTAGTTTTATTAAAGTATAAATGTCTTTGGAGCTGCAAATGGTTGAGGTTAGGTTCTGGTCCTGCATCTGTCTAGTCTCTATTCAGCCATTGTTGATTCCTTTTTGATGTAAACAGTTAGAGAAAGATGTGTATGAAGCATCACAGCTGTCTATTGTAGCATGAAGCAGTCTTGCCTATTGCAGTGCTGGTCCTTCTGGACAACAAAAGCATCTGTTACTAAAAGTAACCCTAGTGTTGGGTTACTTTGGCCCGGATGCTCAAAGATGAACCTGTCTGCCTTGTTAGGCACCTGCTCCACCAGCAAGGTGCCACTGAAATTCTCAGATCCACCACACAGCTGTGGTCTAATCCACTATGTAAGGCTTAATCCCCTGTGTACTAGAACTAGGGGGCACCCACTGAAATTAGTAGGTGACAGGTTTAAAGCTAACAAGAGAAAGTACTTTTTTGCACAGTGCACTGTTAACTTGAGGAATTCATTGCCACAGGAGATAGAGGTAGATAGGATAGCCATATTCAAAAAGAGGCTGGGTAAATTCTAGGATGATGGGCCTATGGCTATTGGTTGGAGATGTTTCTTTTGGCATCTGTAAACTAATAGATGATGGATACCAGGGAGGGTGTTGAATAGATCAGGTTAGAGAGATCTAGTTCAATGGTCTTCCTCTAACAGGAGTGCTCAACTTTTTGGTCCTGGGGGCCAGATGAGTGGTGCTAGGCCCCTCTGCAGGCTAAATCAGACCTTAGAGCATGGCACTGCCTGCTTCTGCCCCTGCACGCTGGGATTGGGTCTGGGGGACTGGTGTCCCCCTTTCCACCTGCCAGGATTGGGTCCTGGGGACTAGCACCACCCACTCTGTCCCCCACACAAAGATTGGGCCCTGGTGTCTAGCAGTGCCTCTGCCCAGCCCTGCGTGCTGGGATTGGTTGCTGATCCAGTGCACAAAGCCCAGGGTTCTCGATGGGTCTGGAGATTTGGCAGCAGGGGAGCAGTAGCACCACTCCCCCAATGCCGGATTTCCAGACATATGGGGAGCCCTGCAGGGTGGATCTGGCCCATCCACATCTGCCATTGTCAGAGACAGGGTACTGGGCTGATGGGCCCTTGGTCTGACCAAGTATGGCATTTAGGTTCTTATGTAGCTCTCATTTTTAAAAGACAGTATTTGTTTCCTTTTAGGGAAAAGGATTATGCTACCTCAAATCCTGGAGGTGAACTTTAACCCTGATTGTGACAGAGCCTGCAAATACCACCCAACATTTTTTAATAATGTCTTCAGCACCCTGTTTCTGGATGAAACAGATAATTGTCATGTAACATGCATTGTCTAGTCCCATAAGGCTTTTTAATATCCTTTGCAAGATCTAACTCAGCTTGACATTTGGCAAGTCTCACTTTACCTCTACTCTTCCTGACCTCTAACAAACATAGCTTTCTTTGCTGATTCATCTGTTTTTCCCATTCCTGTAGGATCTTTGCTTACTCTTAATCTTCTTGCTGAGGTGATAATTCATCCAG